AAAGGCTACAGTTACTGTTCAGGTGCTGTGCAGTTGTACAGTTAGTTGCATACGTGTAGCTCTGCTTATGCAAGCTTGTGATCATGAGAAATGCATGTCCTTCATGCATAATTCAGTCTTGCATGTAGAATTTGGGCTCCTTTCCCGTGTAGGCTACTTTGAATTATGCAAGCTTTGAATTAGCGCACAAAAGGGTCCTGATGACGCCATCCAAGAGGGTTATGATGCAATCTGATGCCCTGATGATGTGATCAAGGATGGGTAAGCTTCAGATAAGTTTATATAGCTTATTCCTCATCCATCTTACGCTTCTACTAGCTAATTCTTATACATATGTAATTAGTTTATGGCTTATAAAATATGTACATAATGTATAAGAATAAATATTGTTTTAATACCTTATTCTAATGATATTTCTGTGAAATCCTAGTGATATTATATGTGTTAATCAACAAACTAAAGGCATTGTATTTCTGAATCAGTACAATAATTAAGAAATACAATAAGAATAGAAAATGAAAAGAAAGAAAATGAAATGTACCTAAAGGCAGGAGCAGTGTTCAATAAGAGACACGACAATAACAAGGAAAAAGAAGAAACACAATAGTACGACTAATGATAGAAGAATGTTAGATGAGATTGTGCTCCTATTGAGAAAGGTTTGAGACAAGATCAAAACCTACGATGATAATCTAACAGCTGCAAGAGCACGTGAGTCGGCGGAATGTCGAATGGAAGGGAACGCGTTCAATGAGACGCTGCAGAAGTAAGTGAGTCGGCGGAGTGTCGAGAAGAAGGGAAAGCGTTCAACGAGACGCTGCAGAAGTTCGTGAGTTGGCGGAGTGTCGAGAAGAAGGAGAATATGATTTGATGTCGATGAAGTAGATGATAGAATTAGGACAGTAGAAGTCGTTCGATATGAAGAGGAGAGAACGAGAACGACAGCGATGAAACCAATGAAAGAATGAAACCTTATGATGAGGAAATAATAATTTAGGTTTCTGGAGTCATGAGGAGGGAGGAAAGAGATTTCGAATAAAGAGACTGGATTATAAATACGATGCGCTGGGATGTTCGGATGATGTCATTCCCAAAGCAACTGATTACATAATTGGGTCCCTATTGGAAAAGGATCTGCTAGAGTTTAGAGGGAGAGAGATCAGATCTCAACAATATGTACAATACTCAAGGGGATTTCACAGTTAATTATAGAATTGTTAAATATAACTTATGAATTAAGATTAAATGTAAATACATATTTATTTATTTATTATTTTAACAACATTGTATAATATTTTCCTGTATTCAATTAGTTATTATTATTTGCAGTTACTAGGTACATTTCACGTACTGTGAAAGGTGCTCTGTGGCTGACACTCACCGGACAAGGGAAACCACCTCGGCCGTTGAGGTGTACACTATCCGCGGCCGGGATGCAGCTCTTGGCCGTTGAGGTGTGCACTCAGCAGCCGAGTTTCTCTGAGTGTACACCTCAACGGCCGTCAAGTGTACCCTGGACCATTGAGGTGTGTACACCTCAAACGGCAAACGGCCGAGACGGTTTCCATCAGCCGTTGAGAGTGTGTACCCTCAACAGCCGAGAGGAATTGTCTCGGCCACTGAGAGTGTATAGCCTCAACGGCCGAGAGGAATTGTCTTGGCCGCTGAGGTGTGTGCACTCTCACGGCCGAGGGGTCAGCTCCCGGCCGTTGAGTGTACCTGATCAGCGGCCGGGTGGATTCCTCCCGGCCGCTGCCCTGGGTATTTTGGGTCATTGACCCCCAAACCCTGGTCGGTTTGGGAGGCCGACTCCCAAACCAACCGGGGATTTTGATTTTTTATTATTATTTTTTCTAGGGAGTCGACTCCCAAACCAATCAAAGGTTTTGGGGGTTTGACTCCCTTTTTTCGGGGAATCCGGGGCTTGGGAGTCGTCTCTCCACTTTTTGGGAGTTGTTTAACCAAGCCCCTTTTTTTATTAAGGTCCTAATTTGAAGAGAATTTTGGAGTTCATTAGCTGATGAAATAACTTGAATATAATTGTGTGAAATCCTATGGAATTCTTTTCCAAATACTTTAACTTCTTGGAAGTACATTGAGTTTAGTGATCTCATTCAGTTTACTACTTGACTCCATATTAAGGCTACCTTTGAAGAAATCTGGAACCTGAATCTTAACCAAGTGAAAGATGAAATTTCTTTCATGTCCAAAATTCCACTTTTTCATTTTTCTGGTGGCATAAAAAATGATCATAGAATTCAACACAATTTTAACAATATCCACTGGGTCTTTATACAGCACTCCTAAAAAATGCTTTCTATCATCTCTATCTCCCAACTGATAAAGATTCTTTCTCAATCCTGGTGACACATGTGGCATACGTTTAAACATGCTGTAAAACCTTTGCAAGAAGGTTTGGATTTTCTTACTAGTTTCATCTGCTGTTTGTTCAGAAGTTAATTGTGAGTCAGGATATTCTCCAAGGATTTTGAGAAGTCAATCCTGAAGAAAAAAGTGCCCCTTCAAATAATATTCTTCTGAATGTCCAAAACTTTGAAGGAATTCCAAGTTGATAAACCAGAGTAGGTCTGGAAATCCTTCAAATTGTCCAGATGTGTTTATCCTGGTGAATTCTTCTTTCTTGATTGGAAATTTCTGGTTGATGATTTTCAAATGAATGTTATTTTTCTCAATTGTTCTAGTTTCTGGGCCCTTTCATGCATGAGGATGACTGTTGTTCCCCTGTCAAGTGTTGAAGCTGGTTGGGCTTCCGGACAGCATGGTAATGTCACAGGGAGACTCAGATGCCATGGGCTTTGAGTGGGAATGGCTAGGTGATGGTTGAGTTGCTGACAAAGCTGTTCAAATTTTGCTTTAGGTACATGGGCGGTCATTTTGTCAACTCCAAGGCAAAAGCAACAAAAAAAAAGTTTCTTTGTCTATGGATTTATTTTCAAAAATATTTTGAGTCATAAAAAATTTCTTCATTTCCTGAGCTCAATGTCTATATACCTAGTATGTAATAGCTGCGTAGAATTTACCTCGCGACACGAACTTGTCAGAAGATTGCGCCAGGGAAACTGAGATCCCAGCGCGTGTCAAATAAATATAAATACTTTCCTCTCGAGCTTGTTTTTCCTCCCCTGATGGGATTCATTTTGTTTACACCTTTCTAACTCTCTTCAAAATTTTAAAAGAAAAACCTGCAAAAACCTGCACCTGCTCGCGTATTCTTTACATTGCTGTGGGACGTGGTACAGATGCAAGGGGGGGGCAGTGATGACCTGGGGACAGCATGCTTGATGCGGGGATGGCTCAGGGACAATCACGTACCTGGGCTGTGCTAAATTTTTCAAGTGGGATGTGATAGAGATGCCAGGTGTTGACAGTGATGTCCTGTGGACACCATCCTGGCCCAGGGACGTCTCAGCTACAATGGCATCCCTGGGCCACGCCGATTTTTGTGAAGTGTGATGTCCTGGGGACGGCATCCCGTCCCAGGGACATCTCAGGTGCAATGGCATCCCTGGGATGCACTGATTTTTGTGAAGTGCCCTGCGTGTGTACACTTAGAAGGTGACTGATTAACTTCGGGTAACGAGTCGAGCCCAGCTCTTCGAGGCCTAGAGGAAGAGAAGGCCACGTACCCAGTCTCCCCTAGCTCCGATCCCGGTAAGTCCGGCCGAGAGGCATGAGGGCACCGCATGGTTAGCCTGGCCACGCTGCTCTTCGGAAAGCTACCAGAAAAGGAGTCGTAAGGGTCCGAGACGTATCGTCGTGGCCCTAAGTAGACGGTATTGTCCGGCGTAAGGGTCCGAGACGTGTCGTCGTGGCCTCAAGTAGACGGTGTTGTCGCGGTGCCGGCTACACAAACAAAGAAGTTGTCTCTTGCTCCTTGCCACTCACCCAAAGCTCTTTCTCAAACTCTTCTCCTCGCCAGATCTACCCATTACACCGCACCGTTTGATCACAGCTTTAACAGTCAGCATTGAATCATGCAAATCAACGTATTCGCCTCGCTTGGCTTGGCACTTGGACTCCTGGGATCGGCGGCGGCGGAGCTTCTTTTTGCTTGCGATCCGATAGTTGCCCTTCAGCCCCTCGGGCTTTGCGTTTCGTCAGACAGAATACGTGAGTTGGTTCCCAAAAGACGATCTGTTTGAAAATCCTTGTTCATCCTCTCTGGGATAAAAAATAGCCATACGGGCAGAGAAGTACAAGAATAGCGACCGAATATTTTGGCCGTGTCACGGCCAGCGCCTTGAATATTGCTGTCCAGCCTCTGAGAAGTTGAATGTCCGCTTAGGCGTAAGCAACGATCCATTACCCCTCACTGGCTTAACGCTTGAATGACGCTTGTTGACCTCAATCTCTCAACCTAGACCCCCATCGACCCCGAGACCCTTGCGCACATCTGCAGCCGACAAGTTCCTCATCAGTGAACAGACCAACGCTGCCCTCGCATCTTTTTTGGAGAACAGAAACCAGTCGCATCTTCTTTTCCGTACGAAACACGCGTAGATTTTTATATCTGCTCGATGATAGTCCTACTGTAGACGTGTTGCAATGAGACCACGGCCAGCAGGTCAAATATCAAAGCTTCAGTATTGCATAACATTTTGTTACGAGAGTTTGCCAGTTATAAGATGGAGTTGAATCAAGCTCGTCTCTCACATGTGAGCTGATCAAGGTTTTGGAATGGGGTGAGCGTGCCGAAACTGTTAGTTTACGATATGGCTCATCGCTCTCAAGAGTCAAGAGATTGGTGAAAATGTGGGTGGATGGTGTCCCTTTCTGTGTGTGAGAGCCGAAGCAGCTTGATCCCCAGCCGAGCTGGCAGCGTCCCACTTCAAGCAGTCGCATCAGGCATCGCCCCAGCCAATTATGTACGTGCCGGCCACGAGATTTTCTTTAGAGTCAAGTCCTCAAGTCACAGCCACCTCCCCGGCGTTCCCAACGATCCATCCATCTCAACATAGAACCCGAATCCGTTTAGCAAGATGATAACCCTTTGTCGCTACGAATGTAAAGCCTGTCATCAGCACTTCGGGCAAGACACGTCAATATACGAGCGCCACCTCCTCGAATCCGGATCGCATCACTACTGCAAGCCATGTCAAAGGGAGTTTGGATCAGCAAAGGCCTTGCAAGCTCATCTTGATCAATCCCAAAAACACATGTGCTGCAGATGGTGCCAATCCGATGTTGATAACATCCGCTCCCACAACCAGAAATATCATACGCAATGCCCCAGATGTAAGGTGTGGTGCGCGAACATGGAGGGGCTCAAGGAACATTGTCTCCAAACTCACTCCGATGTCTACTGTGCCCCTTGTCAAACGCTGTTCACCCAAACCAATAACTTGATCATGGTCAGCCCATTTTCTTTTCCTCGGCTGAGGACGGTCTTCTCTGATGAAGAAGAGCACAACGTTCCAGTTTTTTTTTATCTTGACTCGTGCAATTAACAACAGCATCTCCGATCATCGCTTCATCAACCGAAAAGCGTCCGATGTCCGCACGCATCGTGCGGGAAGGACTTTGTGAGCACCTCGGCGCTTATCGGCCACTTCGAAGCGGGCACCTGTCCATCGGGCGTCGAGCTGGAAGACGTCGACGAATACTTCGGCCATCATTGCGACCCACAACAATGGTTCGTGCGGAAGGAGTTGATCTTCCCTCAACGCGTCTGGGAGATCCCCTCCGATCATCCCAAACATAAGAACTGCGGCCGTAAACCCTACATCTGTCCCTCCGAACACTGCGCTCATGCCACGTTCCACTCCCTCAGTAGCTTGTTGCTTCATCGTGAGACCAGGACTTGCGAGATGGGCTACAGACACGAACTCCCCAAACTCCTTCAACATTTGTTCAACATCGTCGTACAGCTCTAGCAAGTCAGATCCTACTCCCCTTGCGATTCATAAAGAGTTTGTTTTCTCCTTTTGTCTGATCCCTCGCGTTTGAAACTTTGAACTGGCCGTCCACACATACACATCCAGTATCAAGTACAAAATGTAGTCTCAAATCCCAATTTTTGAATTGTCAAAAGCAAAACAAACTAAATCCTAAGAAGAAAAAAAACAGGATGTGTGGAAATATCTATCATGTATGTATTCCATACCTATCCACTAGCCACATTGATCCGTTGATCAAAACCAGAACATAATAATATATACATAAACCAATCTGCTGGTGGAGTGCAGAAGCAGATTGGTGTGCGCAAGGGGGGGGGGGAGCGAAATTATCATTCCCCAACATTTTGTCCCCCTCAGTAGGACAGAAACGGACTCACTGTGATTTGAATTGGTTTAGCACTTCTGAAGCAGTCCAATCAGCCGCTTTCCTGAAAATTCTAACACAGCCACAAGTGGCCCCCACCATTGCAGTTGGGAAGTAATGTGGTAATGGTGATTTGGTAATATCTTCAAATTGGAGAATAACTCCTCTGACTTAGTTGTATAAATATTGTACTTGCGTGCAAAGATCTTCATGCAGTCTTCATTGGTGATTTTGTTTTACCCCTCAATATTAGTGCAGTGAATCAAAGCACAGATATTTTGAATCACATCTTGATTCCTGATCAAGCTTTCCTCAACATCTCTCCCAATAAAGATGTCAAGTGGATCAAGTAGAGAGTGTGCCATTCACTGGCGGAGTTCACACGGTCTAATCCAAGAATCACTTGTATTAGCCAGATGATCTTTCTAAATTCTAAGCAATGATAAAGCATAAATGCTTACTCTTGGCCTTAGCTGCATGCACTTTCCTCTTAGCTGGCTCATTAGGGGTCATAGTAACCCCAGGACCTAAGGCGTCACCAGTCGGTGCAAGTAAGCATGTAACGGAGTGTTCTTCCGCTGCTGCCGCATTTGATAATCCGCCCTCAATTGGGAGAGATGAACTTGACAATCTGGTTGTCATGTTCTTTTAAGAAGAAATGAAAACACCATCAGTTTGAATTTCTTACCATGATTACATCAGGGATATGAATATTATTCAAGCAAAACAGTAAACTTACGGTTTCGGTATTTGAAATAATAGTAGGACAGTTTCCAGTAAAAGGAAGGTTGTATTCTTCTCATTCTTTGCCTTACCAAAACCTCTTGGCTTCCATCTTACTCCAGCAGGAATGTCAGCTCTGGTCTCTTATGTGACCTAGAGTTGATGGGATGTGGGTCACACTTTAGCCAATAGGGCCAGTGGAATTAAGCCTCACCTCAACACTGGTACAGTGGAGGGGCTAGCTCCTTAAAATAATAAGGGACAACAGTGGAACGAGCTTCACTGTGCCTGAGCTTAAGAGAGTAAGAGGAATAGAGTTTGTACTAGTCTTATAAGTTAATGAGGTAACTTATAAGGACTAGTAATGAGATAAAGAGAAAGGTACAACAAGTTTTGTAGATAATATATGACTAAAAACCCCACTCACTAAGTATATGTTTTAGTAAGTTTGTTGGGTTGGTATGGTAATATTGTCTGGGGGATGAATCTCAGGGGGAGAGACATCCTCTTAAATATTACAGAGCAGGGGTCAATCTGCTGCTGGGACCCGTGAAGTCCCCTTATTGGTACACTTTTCCTTGGGGGAAAGTGTCAGGATATTCAGAGCATGCTAAATGTACATGTGCTGAATATCATTTATTTCAGAAAATACACATAGGAGAGATAAACATAATAGTCATACACACAAGAGAGGTAAATAGGATAATCATCTCTTTGATACACCCAGGAGATAATTATCCTTTCCAACTTGATTATAATTTTTATGGAAGAGGTAAATTAATAAAGAGGTGAATCTTTATTAATTTACAGAATAATTATTAACATAAAAAATACATGTAAAAAGGGATAACACTACTTTATAATTATTAACTTAAAGATTACATATAATAATAATTGTGATGTAACCCAAGGGGGTTACATTCTGTTGTAGACACCTGGGGTAGTGTCTCAGTGTCTGACAAGGAAAAATCAATTCAAGAACTGCACTAATCAACTTCACCTTGATTCTGTCACTCCATAAATTAGATACCAGACCGGCCTTGCCATAAGAATTATTCTCAGTTGTGTAATACTCACTTTTGTCAAGTTCCTTGCCATCATCAGGTCCTTTTGGTTCTGGTGTTCCATTCAAGACCCAGAAAAATCTGAATTGATGCTGCAAAACACCTTCAAACCAGTTGTGAATGAGGCCTGTTACAGCACTATTTACTGGATCCCAGTAAGGAAATCAATTGAGTTCAGAAGACGGGACACCATTTGGCTTTACTAATTTCTTATGGTCAGCAGAGGCTGCTTCAAGCCAGCACATTTAATTTGCTAGAGTTCCCATTTTTTTCCAAAGGTGACTGGTTTTTGTATCAGACATCTTAGTATTGACAACATCACACCACTGTGAGAACTCCTTTGGGATGGGTTGGCAGTCCTTGAGGGGGAAATAACAACATGATATTTCACTAAGTAATATTTACTGTTACAGGTGGTTTGAAAGACCTGCCTCTCTATCTACTACACAAGAATTCTGACATAAATTTCATTTATTGTTGTGGCATAACTTTGTGATGGAGAAACCTTTATATGTAGTAGTCTCTATCAGACCTAGATCAGTATGTAATACAATACAAGATGGTTATACAACCTTTACATGGTGAATATGAGTGTAAAAACAATTGAAGTCAAAGATATTTTATGTGGTATTATGGTATTATGGTATGCGTTGATAAACGCATGCCTTCCCCCCTCCCGCATGCCCACACCCCCGCCCCTCCAAAAGGGGCATGCAATCCCACCCGCCCGTCTCTGAGGGGCGGGTGGGATTGCACGCCCCTCGGAAGCCTGATTTTCTGAGGAATCAGGCTTCCAAGGGGCATGTGATCAAACCCGCCCCTCAGATGCGCTGCTACACTTTTTGCCCAAAACGCGTAGCGTAGCGGCGCTTTTTTTCATCAAAAAACTGTAGTGTTAGCGTTTTTTTAGTGGTTTTTGCTACGCTACGCTGCGCTACAGCGCTTTTAGCGGAAAAAGCGGCCAAAAACCGCTGTAGCGCAGCCTAGTGGGCCCTTTTTTGTGGCCCACACGCGTAGCGTTAGTGGTGTTGTGGCAGAATCCCGCTACGCTACGCTTAGCGCTAACAGCAATTCCGCTACACTAACCGCTACGGTTAGTGTAGCGGCCTACTGTTGCGCCAACCACCTGAGAGGTCATGGCAGGCTGATGTAAGCAAAACAATCTGGACTGTCGCCAGCTTGTCGGGAGGGGTTCCTCCCGGCAAGCTGGTTTTATGTCAGCTCGTCGGAAGGATTCCCTTCCAACAAGCTGGTTTTTATACCAGCTCGTTGGAAGGATTCCCTTCCGACAAGCTGGATTATGTACCAGCTGGTTGGAAGGGATTCCTTCAAACAAGCCGGTACATATACCAGCTGGTCGGAAGGGTTTCCTTCCGAAGAGCTGGTATAGAAACCAGCTCGCCGGGAGGAACCCCTCCCGACAAGCCGGTGTACATGCTTGTCGGAAGGGTTTCCTTCCGACAAGCTGGTATAGAAAACAGCTCGCCGGGAGGAACCCCTCCCGACGAGCCGGTGTACATGCCAGCTCGTCGGAAGGGGTTCCTTCTGACGAGCTGGATTATGTACCAGCTTGTTGGAAGGTATTCCTTCCGACAAGCTGGTACAGAATCCAGCTTGTTGGAAGGGAATCCTTCCGACGAGCTGGTGTAAAACCAGCTCGCCGGGAGGAACCCCTCCCAACAAGCTGGTGTGTACATACGCTTGCCGGGATGGGTTCCTCCCGGCGGTGTGACCTCGGCCTCTTTAGGCCGAGGGGATTTGAAAAAAAAAATGAAATGAAAAAAAAACAAAGGGGCCGTCCCATAGGACCCATGCCTGGGTCCTATGTGACAGCCCATGGGCGTGCAGGCAGGCACGCAAACCTGCAGGGTATACCGCTCTGCAGGCAAGTGGCTTGCCTGCCTGCACGCCATTCTGCAATGGCGTGCAGGCGCGCACGCCAATCTGCTGCTGGCGTGCAGTTTGGTGTGCACGAGGGGGGTTGGCTTGCACTTATCAACCCCCTTAATCATTGTAGTTGCCAGAGAGGCAGCCCATTGAAGCATCCATCCCTCTCAAGCTCTATTACTCCCAAGAGTAGTTCCACACCTGCTTTGAAAAAATTTGGGAATTCCTTAAGTGTAAGTTGAACAATTGATCTTCCAAGTTGCTTGCCATCCTTGCTACTGTTAGTGAGGTGCTTGGTCAAAGTGTGTCAATGGACACACAATCCTTGGTGGGTGATGCCAACCTTGACAAAGAAATTCTTTGAGCACTTGGGACAGGTGCAGAGCACTTTTTCTTCTGATTTCAACATGTCTACAGGAAAGGATATGAGTTTCATTCAGCTACAATCAGTTGACATGAAATATAGAGATAATTGAGGAGATTTTGTGGGGACTTACTGGGGAGGCAAGTGGGTTGTTTTCAAGGCTTTGAGCATCCTTTTTTATGCTGTGTTTGACATTAGACATATTTCCAGACTGATTATGTGAGCATTTTATATCAGATCATAACAGGGGCCCATAATTGTAGCCACTACATAATCATGTTATGTCATATTCACATATACATGTGTGAATTGAGGTTTCTGGAAGCCGCACAAGTTCTTCTGGAAAACTACTGGGTGCGGCTGTGCAGGAACCCACACCCATGTGCAGATGATGCCACGTGTCCTATTGATGTCTGCTGAGCAGGCTTTTTTGAACTTGTCCACACATGGCTCAGCTGGTGCACCTACAAAGCAAGCAACTTATAATGAAGCCAGGAAGGTACATAAAACAAGCTGAAGCAATGAGAAGAGAGGAAAAGCTATTTTCATGAGGTCTGGGAGTCAGGTGGATGAAATAGCCCTGAGGAATGTGGCTGTGAGGGGTATGCTGATCAGACATCCATCTCTGTTTAGAGAGGTCTGGGAGTTTAAATAAGCTGATCAAGATATTGGAGGGAACTCTATAGAAAGAAATTCAAATCTTAGTCCAGTCCACATTGAGTCAAAGTTGACATCAACATGAAAATTTCAATGGTTCCTGCATATAAAGAATAGATAATCTTAAAATATAAGAGGTCAAATTATGCCTAACATTAGGGAAAAATAATTCATTTTTACACATTTATGGTTCAACTTTTAAAAAATACTTATACAGAGACATATTTCTGAGGAAGTAAATTTGGTTTGCATCTTTAAATAGATAGATTGGGCTTCCTTAAATTGATCATTTCCATTTCATTCAAGTGTTTTACACCTCAGGATGATAATTAATCATATGATTTTCAACTCTGTGTTCTTATATAGAGGAAAAGTACTACAATCTGGTTATTATGTTTCTATTCAATCCCTTGAATTCCGAAATCCTCTTGTAGGCCCTACAAGAAATGTTGGATGGACCGGTCAGGTGTGTGCCACTCCCAATACATATTTCTGTATGCGCCCCCGGCGCCTGATGCCCTTCAGCGCGCACTTGCGATGCTCCTTCGGAGAGGTGCTCCCGCCAGGCCGGGGCTACCCTCCCGTAGGAACGAGGGGATCGGGTCTGATGCTTAATAAACCTCAAGTCGCCCTGCCCTCCGCGGAGTGCCTCCGCCAATCTGACGATACCCACTCCAATAACTGAAGTATGTGCGTCCAACTTACCTTTTCTCTTTGAACCTCTACACGGAGTATTTCTACAACAAACGCTAACTGGTTTTATTGAAGCAGTAAATGGCAAATATTCGAGACCTTCCGAAGGAAATAATCGCACTCATCATTACCCACCTCATCAGGAGCCCTCTGCGATGGGTTTTCGAGTCACACCGCGATGCCATTGCAGCGAAAACAGCAGCTCAGTTGAGATTGGTTTGCCGAAAATGGGCGGCCTGGTTATATGAGGATCATCTGTATCGTACATTGCGATTCAAAAGTGCTTCTCGATCGGTCGCTTTTATCGACTACTTTCGCGGACGTTCGCAACTCCTTCCGCGTCCTAGATGCCAACGCCTAATCATCCATCGCATCTGGACTGAAAAACCTCGCTCCCGTGACAGTCTTCTAGACATCATCACATCCCCTATTATGGACAGTTTGATAGAATTATTCTCCGATACGATTGTCACGCTTGACCTCAGATTCGTAGATTTCATGAACCTACCCATGCAAACTATTCATTGCATACAGCGAGCGGAGCGCTTGCAAAATCTCCATCTGCGTCTTGTGAGATCGACGTATGAAGAGCTGCTTGTGCCCAATCCTGATTGTTTCGACAGTTTGGTTGTTGGGATTAAAAACCTGAAGTCGCTTTTTTTGGCCTTACCCCTTTCCTTGCCACGCCGATTTGGTTTCTCAAGTGGAATTCAATACCCAGCTATTACTCATCTACACATCGACCTCGCTGCGCAAACCCCTGGTGTGATCTTAAGCCTTGCGATTGCCCTCAAGTCGAGTCTGAGAGTACTTTCATTACATGCCAACAGGAGTTATGACACAGGACTAGTTTTACCTCTTTATGAAACATTGAGAGAAACCTTAGAAGGGCTCGCCGTAACGACAGAATCCTTACTGGCACCCATTCTTGACTTTAAGTTTCCGAAGCTCAAGGCCGTTACCGTCCAGTGCTTGTATAATTCCGTCGCCAATTTGTTCAGCCAAGATATCTTTACTCACGCTCCAATCCAGGTCGTCGCTCTTAATTCCCGATCAGCCTGTTGGTCCAAACTTACTTTTGAGCAGGATCCTTTTACGAACCTTCGAAACTTGCAAAAAATGGTCTTTTTGGCTACTGACGGGGATTATTCCCCTCTACCACAGTTCCTGGCCGCTTGCGAAGCTCATCACATTAAATGTGAATATCTCGATCATAGCGATGTGTTCCTGGTAATGGTTCGTCAAGTCCTCGCATGAATCATCTCTTCCTATTCAGAAACACCAATTCAATAACAATACTAACATGCGGCTTTTGTGCACACAGATGAGGGACCACGGCTGTCGATGATAATCCAAACCTTCTGCTTTTAACCTGATCCTCTTTTGATATTCCTATGTTTATGTGTCGCTTTACCTTGCAGAATTGAATTTAAACTATTGCTGGGGCTCCATGCCTACAACGAGTTTTCGAATAAGATAAATTGTATAACTTTACTATCCGTGTTCCTCATAATTTATGATTTGAGTGACATGTAAAGAAGCAGACAATAAGACAGAAGTAGAGAATAAAAAGAAGAAAGAAATCAGAATAGATAAAAGAAAGAAACAGAGAAAAAGAGATAAACAACACATTTGATGTGGTGAAAAGAGAATTTTCAATGTTAATTTGTGAAATGGATAGTGCTTTGAGTTGTTGGTTGAGGAGAGTAAACTGAATCTACTTCGCCAGTTTGGAACGAATGGAACCAAAAGATGAGTGTAATTATACATATTTGCCTGTGCCGCCAGCAAAAATGTTGTGTCTGTTTTCAAGATTGAAGCCAACTATTTTATTTGTCTCTATAATAATCTTTCAACCTCTGATTCAAATTGATAATTGAGTAAAGAAAGACGTCAGAGAAGAAAGCCCGAGCCTCATGAGGTATCTTCTCCCCACCCTGAAATAACACCAACTGTAATTTTTCATAGCCTGAGGCCACAACCACGGTTGAAATCCAGTTCCAATTAACTGTAAAAGGTCTGAAACGCTGTTTAGAATATCCTCTTGTTTTCTCTGTTGATGATGCTGGAAACTTGTGAAGTGAATATGATTTGTCTTGAACACTTGGTTTGACTAATTCTATTGCTTTCTTGAGGAGACTCAAACTTGGATCATTGGGATTGGTTGGATAGTAGTTTTGAAGTAAAGTACCAATTATATCAATGTATAATAAAAGTAACCCAAAGTCCATTTTATCAGTTGCACTGACATCTTTGATGTCTTCAAAATCTTCCCCAGTTCGTTCTGTCCATAATCCAAACCATTGAACTTCATTTGACTGAAACTCTTTCAATGCATCACTTTGTAATCGTTGTCTTTGGTTCTTTATTTCCCTGCGCTCGGCTTCTGTTTTCATTGGAATTCCTACACCTTTCAATCTACTGGACTTTGAATGCAAATACTCTTTGAATTTGGATTTGAAAAAGGTAAGTTGGGCTTCCCGAAACACTCCAATGAGGGAACAAATTTTCTCTAATTTAAATTCATATTCTTGTGACAAATCTTTTCCAGGATTAAATACATCCAGATTAAAATTCAATATTTTGGAAGGCTTTGTCAATTTCTGTTGTGCCGATGAGGTTACCCTCTCAGGCCTGAGATGGGGGGCGGCGTTGGGAACAACATTTGTGGCTGATGTTGATAAAACCTTTTGAGATTTCAAGTTGATTGAACTACTGCTACCTGAGTGTCCTGTGAATGCACCTCCTTTGGGTTGATTCATCATCCCCAAACTTAGAGTGTTTTCTTCAGCACCAGTTAGTGGTCGGTTCCTTGCAATCTCACTTGGTGAACTCTCAAGATTTTCAAGTTTGACTTTCTTGGCTGATTGAATCTTAGAATGAGCACCAGAAGCTGATGAGCCTTCAAAGTTGTATGAGACGTTGTTGGGACGCTTTGAAAAACTTCTGGATGCAATTTCTAGGTTTGATGAAAATTGATGGTTTGGATTTATCTCCGACTGTGATGGCCAATTCTTTTTAATCCCAGAGCCGGTTTGATTGATTTGTCCTTTCTGTGTCTGGGGAGGTACAGCCTGGAAATTCACATTTTCTACCTTGGTTGGTAATAAGGAAAAAGTCCAGGTGTCTCCGGCAGGTGTTTGTTGACCAGGTGGATTCTGTGATGTTACAATCTGATGAGATTCATGAGGATCTGTCATAGGGCTCTGATAAAATGGGACACCTTCACATTCGTCTCCTGTTGCTGCATCTGGCAAGAGCGAAATTAATGAAGCTTGGTGATTTTTGAAACCTTGAGGAATGTTCTTCGCAACATTGAATAGAACTGACGGCCTTCCCAGACATAGCTCGGTAGATAAATCTGATGCAGCGACATCTGCTTGATTGAGTTGAGGTGATGCTAGGCTGAGATGAAGAGTAATATTGTCCGTGTCAGAAGCATCGTCGCCCCGGCCAGGAAGGAGATTAAGGGTTACAGGCCAGCTTGGGGCCTCTGAAGCATGACAAGAAAACAGCAACCCAAGATGAACAAAGAGCAGATGTGTCCCGAGACCAGGAGAAATCATTTTCTAAATTTAATTGTGATGCTACTGGAATATTAGACGATAGCTTAAAAGGCACTGGGGTAGAATGCTCAAGTCTATCTGGTCTACAAAGCGGTACATTTCTCACACATGGGCACACACTGATACATGGCAGAGATGTCCTCGTCAAAACTAGTCTCCTCGCCAACTATAGGACCAATTTTAGATGCATGATCGAAATCAAAGTCACTTATCAAGCTGATGGTGGTCTGGTGACTGCGAGCTGAAAAGCCTTTCTGTCGCGGCCAGAACTGCAATTGAAAAACGGGATCACAGAACATTTTGTTGCCCCATGTTTCAACTGGCTTGGACACTTACGTATTTCGATGGCAAGTATTTCTGCAAAGCCATGAACAACAAACACATTTCAGCTTAATCATGATTACGTGTTGTGGCTTTGTCGTCTGGGAAGTGTTAGAGCGATGTTATCTCATTTCCAACATCGCTTGTCCCTGTTGAAGTGTCAAACTCAGGCACTGCTTGTTACACATTGCTAACACATCCATGTGAGACTTCTAATCAGCATTGGAGGCAATTCTTCATGATCCATGTCATCATCACATCTTCACAAGCATACATCACAAATGTATTCAACATTGGCAATGCGTACTTAGCTCACACAGCTAGCGATCGGATGTCGCATACAGTCTGCTGCGACACCCGCAGTAAGGGGGGCCCCTTGCCGCGGGTGTCGCAGCAGACTGCGTGCGACATCCCTGTGACAGCTGTGTCAATGGTCAGAGCATCACTCATGAATGCTGAGGTTGTGGGTTCGAGTCCCACAGTACACAACCTTTCTTTTCACTCGTTCAATAGGTTATGAGCCCAGGTAGCGCATGCTGCTTCACAATTGAACTTGTTAAAGATTGGTAGCATTTGCTAGCAACCCTGTAACAAGCACGGGGGAATGTTGAAGTGTCAAACTCAGGCACTGCTTGTTACACATTGCTAACACATCCATGTGAGACTTCTAATCAGCATTGGAGGCAATTCTTCATGATCCATGTCATCATCACATCTTCACAAGCATACATCACAAATGTATTCAACATTGGCAATGCGTACTTAGCTCAATGGTCAGAGCATCACTCATGAATGCTGAGGTTGTGGGTTCGAGTCCCACAGTACACAACCTTTCTTTTCACTCGTTCAATAGTCCCTTGGCCTTAGTTTGTGGTTTTGTTACAAGATACGATATGTTGACAGGCCGAGGTAGCCAATTCGAAACCGGAGAGACATGCTTAGCTCGGCGCATGTGAGTTCTACCAAGACAAGATGTTGAAAGGACGGTTCACATCTAGATTTTTAGCTACTTTGCTGATTAGCTAACCTGCTGGTTTAGTAAAATTTTACCGCAAAATCAAGAGAATTGGTCAAAAAAACGTTAGCTGATTGGTTGCTGGTGGCCATTTTTTTCTCTCCAAATATGGGGATACCACAGCTAATGACGATGACCATCCTGTTTCTATCTGCTGATGTGGTGCTGGGGAAGTTAAATACTTCATAATAATCATTGCTTTTTTCAACATCAGCAAGCTGATCAGCCAGCTAGCTAAATGTCGACTTCAAGGTGTCTAATACTAGGAACATAAATTTTGTAATAACTGAGATAGACGAAGATGATTGGAGTCACAAAATTTCAACCCCTGATGAGATAAGAATTAACTGATTTAAAAGAAGGTCAAGACATGTATTATTTATGTTCCAAAATTGGAATGAAAAGAGTAGATCAATCTTACGGGTTTCAAGCCTGGATAATCGAGGAGGGGATACATGGGGAAACATGAGAGGCTTTCAATGACTGATTTGGACTGTCCGTAGGAGGCAGTAAAGATCGATGAATCTAAGCTGCGTACTAAACTATTGGTGAAGGAAACGGGAGAATTGCAACATCTCGAAAGGTTGAATATGTCTTGACAAGCCCGGTACCCAGCCCAGCTTTGTCTTTTTCTTCTTCCGGTCATTAGAATAACAGGAGCGGAAAGGATGTGACCACTGTCATTTGAGACGATGGATGGCCTGATGGCTATGGAACCAGGTGTAGACCATACAGGACATACTTAATAGAGTAGAGTGAGTCTGCTTCTTGAGTCCTGTTCGGAGTCAGAGAGCTTGATTTCCAGTCTTTTCTAGATATATTCGGAATATGCTGATGGCTCTTTAATGGATTGGCAGAGCGGTGAGACAACCCTTGTGACCTGATAATAGCAGCATATATATTGGATGCTAAATTTTCCTCTCAGCATATTCTCGGTTGATTTGTGGAGAGAAGACTGACCCAAACGCAGGGTGAGAAGCCCTTAAGAGCTTCTTGGCTTGGGATCTCTGGGTCCCAGAGTTGTATGTATGCACCTCCAGCAAACCCAGACTGGATTTGTAGAAGGAGCCTTTTGAGATAATGATAAGAGCCATCCCCACTCTAGTTGACCATCACCAACGAGTATCTACCCAGTAGGTGTTGACGAATCGACCAGGAAGTCAATCGGCAGCCAATCATCGAGAATCGGAGGCCAGCACTAGGGTCTAGCTGAGTGTGTTCAAGTTCAACTTCTTTTCTTATTCGATAGTGTTCAACTTGAACTGATTTCTATCGAGCAATCGAAGCTCGAAGACTTAATCATCGGGTTGGAATAGGAATGCCGAGTATTCTGGATCTTCCTAGGGAAACACTGGAGCTCATACATGCACACCTCATCAGCACACCCACCCAATGGCTTCATGTCCATTATCCCAACGATCTGGCAGCGCGCACGACGGCTTGTTTGCGACTGGTTTGTTGGCAATGGGCCGAATGGTTGTACGTGCATCATCTGTACCGCGGATTGAAATTCGATAACGCTTCCCGATCGAACGAGTTTATCGCCTACCAACGCAGTCGGTCGGAGCTTCTTCCGCATGCTAAATGTCAGCACTTGGTCATCGGTCGCATCTGGACTACCAGGGAAGCTCCCACTGGGGATGTCGGATTGCAAGATATGATCACTCCTGAGATCCTTGAAAACCTCCTCGATCTCTTCCCTACTACCATCCTCACTCTCGACCTCCAATTCGTCGATCATCCATCCCTTCCAATCGGAAATATTCAAGCCATAAAACGGATCGAAAGTCTCCGTGAACTTCATTTAAATCTCTCGCCGACTTCGGTTGGAAACCAACCCCCCACTCCAACCGACCCAGAGTTCTTCAATGCTTTGATCGTCGCAGCTCAAGGAATAAACTCACTCGTTCTGGGCATACCGATTTCCCTGGACTATGAGCCTGAACCTGGAATGTGGGGAGACCGGCCCTATCCAGCAATCACTCATCTGCATGTCAACATGTTATTCCAGCGAACAATCGACATTCTACGTCTTTCGATTGCATTCAAGCCTAGTCTCAAAGTGCTTTAAGTTCAGGCCAATGAGCAGGAGGGTCGCGAAGACCTGATCGATCGCTTATTTCAGCTCGGTTTCACTCACGAAGGATTCGAAAATCTGGGTGTACGGATGTCACGGATTGGACGAGTTTATGAGCTGCTCAAAGAGAGCTTGGAAGGCCTTTCCATTTCGTCCTCTCACATCTTACGAGACAGTCTTCATCTCCACTTCCCCAACTACGCGTCTTGGCAGTCCACTATTGGTTGAATTCCTTCTCCGATTATCTCGCACAAGATATCTTCACCCAGGCTCCAATCGAGATCTTGGCGATCAATGCTCAAGCTGCTTTCGATCAATGCGATCCAATGTTCTTCGGTAATCCACTCGCTCATCTGCCCAAGTTGAAGAAACTCGTTTTCATGAATGCTCCAGCAGACTACTCCGCACCTCCAAAGTTTCTTGAAGCTTGTGAAGCTCTTGACGTTCAATGCGTGTACATCGATCATTACCAAATGCCTCTTATAATGGTCAGTCTCTTGTTCCTCATGCAATTCTCCAGTCCTTTCAATGTACCAATTGGAACTATTCCACCGAAAGGAATTATATCAATCAAAGGGTAAATGTACTAACACATCTAATTTTTGAGCTCAGAAATTATGAGCGCCACCAATTTCAATATCAATTAGGCCTCCCCCTTGGTCTTCTTTTAGCAACAAACACTTCATCTCTTCACCACTGAAACCCCTCAATTTAATTCCCACAGCAAGTATTTGATGCACCTATAATATGGACTTGTAAGAAAAATTACTCAATACATCTGGGGCTACTTTGACTTAATTTTTGTTTATTGACTTTCCAAGCCTCACCAGCTGTGTTTATGTAAGTGTAAGGTGATTTTGGACCATCATTTTGGATGTTGACCTTTAGAAAAATAATATTGTGAGATCATTTCGAATGTTGAGACTGCTATGGATTTGCAAAAGAATACAAAGGGAATGTGGTGATGTTCAAGATCCAATGAGCAGGGCATGTATGACTTAATGACTGCTTGATGTAAAAGTGCCAAATTTGGTACGCTTTTGATAGTGCCTGAGTCATTTGTTGTGATGCGGTGTAAAATGCTTGGATTGTTTTCTAAGCAATTTGTGAAATGATGGAGGAAACCCCCAAATTAGTATGTTAGCAACAAAAATGTATGGATTTGTTAAAACAACCAAATTATATGCACAAAAGTGGTATGAATTGCCTTGGACAATGGAAATGTTATGCACAAAACTGGTTCTAAATGTATGAAAAATTGGCTCAATGTTGAGAGAAACCCGCCAAAATGCCTAGTCCCCAATTTTTCAGGGGGATTTTTCCTCCAGCATACACACAAAAGGAGTGTGAATGGCCCTAAAAATGCAAGTCCCCAGGGCCACCCAATATGTGTGAATTTCCCAAAAAAAAACAGGAATTTACGTTACTGCCATTTACAGGCGGTTTCCTGGGTGCTGATCACAGAACTTGAGAGCCCCCGGGAAAGTATGATGACAAGCAATAATGATCTGTTGAATGATTAATTCTATTTAACTGATCTGGCCAAAGTATTGAATTTCAAATGGTTCACTCAAGTGTCACACCAATTTAATTTGAACCAAGTCCCCCCTTCAGCTGGCCCAGAAAGTGATCTGAATTTTTTCCTTCTCCCAACCTCAAGACTACAATCTTGCTCATCACTCACCACTTTTGCCAAAAACCCTTAATCCACTTTCAATCATACACCTAAACTGCATGTTTGATCCAAACCATCTACTCGCGCAGATTAACAATACTCAGGAGGAGCTAGGATGCATAACAGGTGGCGGTAAATTTTTTCCCCCTTCTCAATAACTTTGACCTGGATCCTGATCTCCAAGTTGTTTCTATCTTTTTCTACCTCAACTTTCCTTTTTCTTTCAGCACTGCAAAAGGAGTTGTATTGGTTAAAGCCCCCTGCAATAAGGTTGTCCAGAGGCAACCAATAGAAGATTGGTCATTGGCGAGGCCCACCAATACATTTTTGCTCTGTCATAATGTATTGGTGGGCCCAAATGATAAAAAATGGGTCAATGAAACTGATCTTATATTGGTTGCCTCTGGGCAACCTTATTGAGGAGGGTAGTAACTGATACAACCCCTTTCACAGTGCAGGCTTGTCTTTTTTGTTCCATCTATTTCTCCAAATTGAGTTGTGTCTATTCAGAGTACTTACTAGGATCCAACTATAAGAAGGTAATTATCAGCTTTCACTTATTAATTTAGTCGTCATTTTCCCTTTTCTTATTTCTAATCTCTTTTGATTACTAATGATCTCTTATAGTTTTCTTAATTCTCTCTAGTTGTTTTTACTACTATTAGCATCTATTGAAAGTTTTTATAAAGTAAAATAAGACCTCATATTTCCTACATGATCCTGGCCCAACGGTGATTAACCTGGAAGGACACACCTACATAGAAGACATCCACTAAGCTGTGGGTGATTGACCCAAGGAAGGGCTAGTCTAACTTACTCCTAAAGATTAGCTGGACAATCTTACCTGATCCTAGCGTATAGTCCAAGCCCCTCATCTGGCTTTTGGTGGGGACACCGGGGGAGAGGCTTTGTTTGGCTTACCACTTCTGATCAAAATTTTTTTATCTTGCTGAACACATCGAAGTGATTCAATCAAGCTTTTGGAGACTTGGTTGTCTAGGTCCAACAAACACTTGGACAACCTGTAGCAAGTGTGAAGTTGATTTGTTGAGGCGAGGTGTAGTGCTGAAGGTCTCCTGAGTTCGCTGGTTTTATGCAAAGACCACAAAAGAATTTTGTCAAACTCAGAAGCGAAAAGTTCAATTGTGAACCCCGCTAATGTTACAGGTTTACGGGCGTGGTTTGCGGATGAGCCATACCTGCTCCGGATCCAGGGCTGGATTGGCCCTATATTTATAAGCAGACTGACGCCACAGTCAAATTAAGGTGAGATAACAATCCCCTCGTCTCTACAGGGGCCGGAGGACCGGTGCGCCGTTGGCGCCTCGCAAACCGAGCCTTTTCATGCCGGGGTCTCCATCCCCTTCGAACAAGTGGATTGCCATATTATTTCCTCCGTCATAGGAGGAGCTCATGGGTTCATGTCTATAAACCTGGTCCAGTTGTTGGTTGCACCGGCTGCTGACTTACTGTGGGCTTACCGCGGGATCAGTTATAGGCTCCCTGACTGATCAGCCAGCGTCAGACTACTGCATCCAACGGTGGGCCAGAAGCTACAGCCATCTCACACAAATTGCTGCATCCCTAGTGTAGCAAGGTAAAATTTTATACCCCACTAACACTAGCCCCAAATCCAGTTGATTTCCCGATAGTCCAGGAGCCAGTTGACTCCAAGCTACAAAACTACACCAAAGTGGTTGAGGGGTGGGGTTAAGCTTGATAATCTAGGACAAAAGATGATGCGGATGCTATGCTCCGGGGACTAGGTTTATAAGTTTTTCATCAATTCCCCAGCCTTGCCAGTCTTGGTTATCAGCATTTTTTTCATAAATTTCCGCTGAGGCATTTGGTCCGGCCAACTCCAAGAAAGCCTTTCCATAGCCGTTGCCGTCAAGTCGAAGGAAGCTCCCCCAGCAGGTATGTCCAGTTTTGCACTTATACTTGTTCTTAAACTTATGCTTGATCAAGCAGTACATAGCGATAAAATTGATGAAGTTTTATGATCCTGGTCCCTGGACTCGGAGTAGGATTAATGCAATGCCGACCATCACTGATCTTCCAATGGAATTACTTCAGCACATCTTCACGGACCTGGTCATATTGCACAAAAGATGGCCTCGTTCTCCGGGCCCACCTCCGACGACTACCTTAAGACTGGTTTGTCGGCAATGGGCGAATTGGTTATACGAAAAAGAACTATACCGCACGCTGTATTTCACAACTCGCACTAAAACCTTAGCATTTATTGGCCACATACGACAACGCTCAAAACTCCAGCTACCGCGTGCCAAATGTGCCCATTTGTATGCGTATCTCACTTATCACGAGTCCTGGCATGGGCTCCCCGAAGACGAACATGAATATCGGATCACCTCTGAGATGCTAGAAAGCTTGGTCGACCTGTTCTCCGATACAATCGTCACGTTGTCTCTAAACTTTTATGAGTACGTCTCGCTGTCCACTCGAACCGTTGCTGCCATTGGGCGGATTGAAAACCTCCTGAATCTCCGGCTGGAAAACGAACTATGGCATCTTCCCGACGAGCGTGTAACGCCGTTCCCAAGGGTAACTGAGTGCTTCAACTCATTGCTTGTGACAACCCAGCAACTGCGATCACTACGTCTCGGGATGCCCTTTTCCCTACCTTTAGGATATGGCCCCGCGGCTGGTTCTCAATACCCACCGATTACGCATTTACACCTTCGGCTCGGAGCCGTCAAGATAACCGACATAACCACTCTTTCAGCTCTACTCAAGCATAGCCTCAGAGTGGTTACACTTTGTGATTTAAGAGTTCTCGAGGGGTTTGAACCACAACTGCTTCTACCCTTTTATGAAAACATCAGAGAAACAATAGAGGGGATTGGTGTTAGTTCACCTATCGCACTAGAACCCATCCTGGGTCTGAGGTTTCCAAAGCTACGGGTCGTCGCAGTTCAAGACTGGCGTGATTTCCTCACGGATTTCTTGAGCCGAGATTTGTTTTTGCATTCCCCAATCGAGGTCCTTGCTTTGGATTCGGATGCAAAGCGTCAGGTCGATCCCGATCCGGCGTGTAATCCGTTTCAAAACCTGCTCAAGTTGAAACGACTGGTTTTCATGATAATAGACTACATGTCCGAAATATCACCGAGGCTTCGTCGCGCCGGTGAAGCCCGTGGTGTGAAGTGTGTATACCTTCATCATGCGGACATGTCTGTAATAATGGTTAGCAAAGACCTTGGATTCATCACTTCATTGGCTTCCCATAGTGATACTGACATGAAACTTTCCTTGAGCATAGAAGCTCTAATCCACTCGCAGTTTAACTTCCAACCTCAAGATCTAAACGGATACCTATCTCTTAGTTTTGTTTCTGGCAATGCCCAATGTCATGTACCTAACAAATTTTAGAAAAAAAGTAGGCAATTGATGTGTCCATTGATCCTTTCCTCAAAGAAGGATTGTTTAACAAACATATCTATTTGTAATCCCCCAAATCATTTTCATTGATTCCAATGGGTGGACTTTCAATCTCTGGCAAGGCCCATCAACTCGAGGTTTTTTGTTCATAGCTTGAACGCCACTAGTAAAATAGACTTGCTCATGATGAAAATGTTCCCCTTCGAGACACGTTTTTATTAGGGATCCAGGGATTAGTGAGACAGAGAAAACCATTGCGAAGGTCAAATAGAAACCCCCAAAAAAAACCTGAAAAGCACATGGCACGCAGGGAGCATGTATTTTAATATGTACATATTCAAGCTCCCAATATCTACATATTTACACATGTACAGTGTATTTTTTTTTTTTTTTTTTTTTTTTTTTTTTTTTTTTTTAAAGTGCTATTGATTTTACATACCGCACTATCAATCTGCTATGTGTTATGTATATACAAGTATCTACTATGTTGTTAATATGTGACGCCAGGTGGTACATGATGGCGCTGTCTTTAGTGTGTGAAACAGTCGTGTATGGAAGAGATAGTAGAAAAATTTGAAAGGAAAAAGAGAAGGAAGAAGGAGAAGAATGAAGAAAAAGGAAGAAGAAAAGAAATAATTCAAGAGATAACATGAAACTCAGAGAGGAAATGGCCAATAAGAAAGGGAAAGAAGGGAAAGAAAGGAAAGAGAGGGATTAAGAGCTTAGGATTTCGAGAGACCCAGCCCCTCCCCCTATCCCACCTGAAGAGTAAGTATACAGAGTGCGTCTAGGCCCCCACAACCTATCGCTGCTACTGTAGAGGGGTCCTCGGGTTATCCCCCAATAACCCGAGTTCCAGCGGTCTTCAAGGGTTCAGGGATGGGTTCCCTAGCCCGTCGCTTGTATATACATATATCAGGATGCCTGGAAAGGAAGAGAACCGAAAGGAAAGCAGAGATAGAGTTATAAAGTGTAGACATGAGACGGAAAACTGAGAGTTAAAGGGAAAGAAAACAATTAGGTGATTTCGGCCTCCGAGATGTAACGCCTGACATTTGGGAATCGATTTGTTGCCAAGATGTATTCCGCCACTTCAGCCATTGCCTTAGGGTTGTCCATGATGGATCGGAAAGAGTTTGGGTTTGCGCCACATTTGGATCGTCGGAGATTCTTTTTGAGGATCGCTCTCTCTTTCCTGTACCTGCTGCAAAACATGAGGAAATGTGCCGCGTTCTCTTGGACTAGGCAGTTAGTGCATCGGGGGTCTAAAATGGATTTTATTTTAAATAAGAAATTATTTAGCGGGGCGTGGTCTGCTCTGAGCTGAAAGATTGTCGCTGCTAGCCCTTTTTCTTGTAGGTCTAAAGCATGCACCAACTTAGTGCAGTCTTTTGAAAAGGGGAAACGTTTTGAGTCCTCCGTCGACCATACTTCGGAGGGTTTGGCTTGGCTGCGGGTGTGTTGTCGTAGTTTGGCCAAGCTTTTTGCTACTGTTATTGGGGAAGAAGAGTTGTTAGTTACGGGGGGGTTCTCCCCCGCTGCCTCTTTAGCGAGGGTATCCGCTTTTTCATTTGCTATGATGCCCTCGTGACTGGGGCACCAGTAGAGCTTGACCGGGCAACCTAGTAGCTTCATACGAAAAAAATTATCAGTATACAGGTGTTGTCCCGGGGATTGGGACAGCGGGTCGGAGGAGAGCATAAGCGCTCCCTGGTTGTCTCCAAAGATGGCTACCGCGCTTATTTCCTGTGAATGGTCAGCTTCAAGAGCATTTTGAGCTATGGTGATAGCAAGCCCAATCCCGATCAATTCGGTTTCAAAGTTAGAGATGAAGTCAGCAGGTTTTACGGTGGCAGCCAGACTCATTCCAGAAGGGTGGGTCACTGCTGCCGCTCCTGCACCTTTGTCCGGTATCCATGAGCCATCGGTGAAGATGACTAATGACCTGTTTTGGGTTTCTTGTTGAACCTGTTGAGGAATGCGACAAATCACATCAGAACGTTTGTCTGCTGCGTTTTGGATCTCCCCAATCGGTTCAATCCATGGAGGTGCCGGCATCGGATGGATGGTTTCCGACTGGTCTGCTGGGAAACTGTGCGAACTATTCGGTGTTAGAGTCATATGTATAGGGCTTGGGAAAGTGGGTTGCTTGTCAGTCAGCTCCTTTTGTAAGATGTGTAGGACTGGGTGGGGGGGTGGGTACGTTAGTGCACGGAGGATATAGAGATGTGAGTTGCGCAGATGTAGTTCCAGCGGGGTCTGTAGTCCGCTGCTTTTCTTGACAAACGGCAGGGGGGTTTGTTTGAAAAGGCCAGTGATCAGGCGACAGGCTCGATGATAGAGGATATCAAGGGTTTGCCCAGCCGACTTGGCGTTCATTTGTTGGTGTACCAGACGATGCTGCCAAAAAGAATCCT